CTGTTTTCTGAAAAATCTAATTGTTTGCTGGTCCTCTCCAACCAACTATTGCTTGCCCAGACTGTTGGTGGCACACTGGTTGCATGTGTGGATAGGAACTGATGAACTGGTGCTTCAGTGCACTGAGTATCAGAGATAGAGAAGACACCTACGTCCTGCTTGGAAACAGCCCCACAAACCACATTGGTGTTCAAGCTTCAAACTTTACATGGGCATGTTCCTCGCCTGGGGCACAGACATCCCCAAATGGTCATGGGACAATGTCCTGTGATGAGAGGGGAGGGGGCTTGCTGCTGGCTCCATTTAGTGAGTGATAGGAGCATAGATTGTCTAGACTGAATGAAAGGATAACAGAGAAACCACTCAGCTGGGCTTGTGCTGGCACAAGTCAGAAAACACTACTTTGGAAGTGGAGCAGGAGAGTCCAATAACTGACTGCCTGCACCCTGGGTAAAGCAAGCTTAGCATCATCCATTTAAGCCCTCTCAATGAATCTGCTGAAATATAACCTGCCTACAGGTAGCAGATGGTATGGAAGAACCCCATGACTTCAGTGAGGAGCTTCCTCTGGAGGCAGAGAAGTATAGAGACTACTTCGGAAACTGTGGGAGATACTCCTAGGACCTTTGGAAGATTCTGGGGCAACCCCCTGCCTCTTCCCACATGTCCGCTTTCTTTCTTTCTTTCTTTCTTTCTTTCTTTCTTTCTTTCTTTCTTTCTTTCTTTCTTTCTTTCTTTCTTTCTTTCTTTCTTTCTTTCTTTCTTTCCTCCACAGAAATCAGTGGGGCAATTAATAATGTTGCAATTCTGTTGTGATGAATTGTATGCTGGGAATGGAAAGGTACATCTCCATTTCTAATGCACAGCGTTACTTTGTGTAAGGCCCCCTTTATGCATCTTCCCCTAAAAATGGCCACGGACATATTTTTTTAAAAAATCCTGCCGTCTTCCACTCTTCAGTATTGTTTTCTGCTCAGCAGGAGAATCATGTCTCCTTTAACTCATGATACATATGAATGGTCCAGTCTCTTTGGATTCAGCCCCTTATTCATCTTACATCTTAAGTGGAAAGGTTCATAAACCACATAAAGAATTTTGTTGCTCTCAAATATGCTTTTCCCGAAGAGCGTTTCACAGAACTTTCAAGCATGCTTAAGAGTGCCACATAGTTGCTCTAGGGAATGTATACATGATCATCTTCTTTTCTTACTGTCAATCAGTTTATTATGTTTCAGATTTTCCTTGGGCACTGTAGATAAAAATGAGCTCTTAAAGAATAAATACATATGTATGATATTAAAAATTGATGCCCAAATACTGATGCAGACTATTAAAAATGCACAAGGGGAGGGAGGAATCAGCATTACCAGCACTCAAAAACAAATGGGTCATAGGAGTTGACAGTCTCAATAATTTACATACTAGGCTGGTACTGTATAGATTTTATACCTCTCTCCAGCTCAGATTGCAAAAGGTGTAATTTGTGCCTTAATTCCAGGGCCCAAGGTTTTTTCCCCACCTGTCTGCTCGCAACATTTAACTTTGACATGTTTAAAATGCTGAAGGATCCCTGGGCTTAACATGAGGCCTATTAGTCTTTGTGCTAACTTCATGTGTGCCTAGTTTCAAGCGAGCTTTTGGTTTTGTTTTTAATTAGCAAGGAGTGCTATGTGTAATTACAATATTTTTCTCTTCCCATCACACTGAACTGCATGGAAAATATTGTGGAGTCTTTCCGTTTCCAGGCTGGATGGTCAAAGCTCAACCAGTTCTCTCCCTTTTTTCATTTCCCTTAACATTCAGATTTTTCCCTCCTTCCCCCTCTCTGTGTGCCAAGCTTATTCACATTTCCAATACAGTGGGAGCGTATGCAGTGATCCAGCTCTAGCCATATCCAGATGGATTAAAATATCTAACATTATTTGCTCAATCTTCAATTTGCTTTTATCTACTCAAATACAGACGAGTCTTTGGGCTAAAAAAAAAAAAAAAGGAGTGGGGGGGAGAGATGCACATTCCACAGTTCTGGCATGCAGAATCCTCTGGGAGGTGGATTGGGTGGGGGGGAACATACTGCCTTTTTCATTTGTCTTCTAATGATTCCAACAAAATCAAATATAGCCCAGCCCAGGATCTTACAAGCTGATTTAAATAAGCTTAAAGCAGGCCTGGGATAGATGGCAATTATTATTATTATTCATAATTCCAGCAGGCATTGCATATCTTCTATGTGTTCCATTTTTAGGTTAACCAAAGACTTAAAAAGAGATACTCTGTTATGAGTTTTAAGGATTCTGGTATGTTACTCAGGCTTAGCCATAGATGTTGCTCTGAGGTGACAGGTAGGTTCTTGGAATTTCCCCAATTTTAATACTTTATAATGCTATCTGTGTGAGCAAAAATAGTTTTAATTCCTCCCCATGTCTGTCCCTTGGGGATTCTGTTTTACATTTGAAATCAGTAGAAGGTCAGCATTCAAAGCAATGGGTTGGTGAGTCAAAACAAATATTTTCGTAAAAGATTTTGCTTCCAGGTGTCTATAAGGCTGTGGTTGAACAGTTTGTTTTTGCAGCTCTGGAAAGGGACTTCAGTACTAGGTGGGAGATACATGCAGAGAGAAAGAAAGGACTCAAAAGCGAACAATTACTGAAGTTTCTGGTGCTTCTGTTAAGGGTAGGCAAAGCCACTAAATATATTGTAAAGTCCATCAAGGAATGTAGTTCATATACTATATATAACATCTAAACTGCCTGGGAATAGTTTAAAAATATCTATATTGATCTCCAAGGTTCCAGGCCAAGAACCGAACCTTAATGGTCAACCTTAGAGGTAAGGTATGTTCTTCTTCTCTGCTATGGAACCCTTTTCAGCATCTAACACAGATTTCTTAATTTGGGTACCTTCCAGATTTGTTGAAATTCAACACCCATGTCCCACAGTGAGCATGACCATGGCTGTGCTGGCTGTATTGATTTGAGATTATGGGAAATGAAGTCTAATACCATTCAGGAGGAGGCACCAAATGATGGGATGGCGATCAAAAGACGGTTTTACTCAAATCAATATACTCAATTTCTCCTGGTTTCACATGATATCTATCTATCATCTACCTACCTACCTACCTACCTACCTACCTACCTACCTATTACAAGTGCTTTTATGCTGCTTTGATTGGAAACAAAAATTGAGAGGATTAAAAAGGAAATATAGAGTTTACCACTGCCTTTTTCTGAGATGTTTTTCAACTTCCCAGTCTAGCTTATAGCTCTGAGTTTTAGTTGAGGTCTCTCATTGTTCAGTTTCCAAGCCCAGACAAGACTGGCCAAGCTCTTCCACCTTCTGTAGAGAGCCGGGAGATGGCCTTGAGGAAAATGTTCAGAAGCCATTACAAAAACAAAGGGGGCAGAAGCATTCCTTGGGGAAGGAGATAGTATTAGGAAGAAACTCAGCCTGGTTCCTCCCTGACTTTCTGGGGTATAAGAGGGAGGGGGAAAAATCAGATTTGTAAGGTTCTATTACTGTGCAATAGCCTATCTCAGTAAAGCTTAGTTCTAGTCTTCTTGTGGAGTCTGTTTCCCGATCTAGACAACCTCAAAGGTCTGACAACCTTCTAAGTTAACTTAGAACAATATAAAGCAATGAAATACTGCTACCTATATAGGTTGTACTGAATCAGTTCTTTTCACTCTCTTTGGTGGTTTAAATCTACAATCCCCAAATCAGTTTTATGGAGGTTAGCTCCATTGAACTCAATAAAACTTTCCTTTTAGTAGCACTGTTCTGGCAAGACATTAAAAGATGATCCACATACTTAACCAGCATATATTTGCTTATTTGTTTGGGGTTATACATAGACGATCTGACCTGCTTCAGGATAGATCCTTGACTCAGAAAGTAGCATGATCTGCCTTGTGTTGCCCTGAAGGGTAGCTCTTTGTGACTTGTCTGAATTGTGGAGTGTAAATCAAAAAAATGGAACCTCTGCTTCCCATTATGTAGCATGAGAAATACACACACACATACACTAATAAATTTTTCATCAGAATAGGGTATCAAGAAATTCATAGCACTATAATTGAAGGAAGCTTGCCAAATTTCATAAAAATCACTGCAGAGGTTTTTGAGCTACATGTCTTTAAAATCTGTTTTTGCAGTGTCCATAATGTTACGATTACAAGACAGAATATAATGCAATTTGCATAGAAAATGGAGCCTATAGAGAAGAATATCTGTGGCATATTTCAGGCAGATAGGTTGAAGACATTTTGTGCAAAGGGAAGAACTGGTGGCAAGGAATAATGATGTACTTCATGAATAGATTGGAGCTGACTGTCAGGTTAGAGTGCAGAGAAAGTATAATAGATTAACTCACTCATCTGTTCCTTAAAAGGAAATGCAGTACTTAAACTAGTCAGGCAAAAGACAGCCACCAAACCACTTGTTACAACTTCTAAGTATGGGAGATAGGAAACAGCGATTCCTCTCTCACATTCTTTTCATCACCGCCCTAAAGACATGGTGATTGGACTAGCCAGTGGTAGTCTGATAGCAAAAGGTCATTCTGATGCGAAGTCAGTCGCTGCATTCCATAGTCTCTTCTCTCCCCTTCCTTTCCTTGCCAGTGAGGCATTTAAAACTGTCGGAATCACTCCGATTTTAAACAGCTTTTTCGCTCGTGGACAATCTCTGCTATTCCATCCAACACGCTGAGTTCTGAAACAACGTAGAACTGCTCCTGTCTGTGCTCCTGCACTCTGAAGATGCCGGTCACAGGTGCTGGCAAAACGTTAGGAAACAAAACTTCAAGACCCCGGCTGCAGAGCCCGGAAGCCCCACCCCGGCCATCGTATGCCGGCCGTGAAAGCCTTCGACAATACATTCAGCGTATCAAAGGTTTCATCCGAGT